AATGGGCTGATTTGGCCCATGGGCCTTAGTTCGTCGACCTTTGCTCTAGAAAGTTGACACTGTCTGGGAGGAAAAACTTTTCCTCTACTCACTTAGGTTCAGTTCTTGGGAGCCTGAAAATTAAACCGATAAAAGACAGATTCACAGGAGAAAAGACAAATTTTTACTCACTTATAGTGAAACACACAGAAAAATGTAATGGGCAGTTAGAATCTGGAGTTTATATACCATCTTAATAGGGGAAGGGGAGGGGAAGAAAGGACACTTATGGGAAAAAGACTTGTAGGAAAGATAAATGGGCCTTAGGAGAATAGATGGCAGATATGATAGATTTGTGACAGTGGCTGTTCAGGTGGTCTCATATCCAGGTAACAAGAGTCAATCTTCCCTGGTTGCGAAACTCCAAGGAGAGGATTTATGACAGTTAAGTTCTTTTGGGAAGTTCTGCTTTTAGGCAGATTTGGGGAGTTCAGGAAAAAAAGCCTCTTCCTGTGTCTGTTGATTCTCAAATGCCTACAGCTCAAAATAATTTTTATGCCACCGTGGCATATACTGGACCCCTTCAACAATAGAAAAACACTCACTAGAAATAAACTGAAGCCACATTCTAGATTCCTGTCTACATGTGCATCACCAAGTGTAGGTGTTGGTAGTTGCCTCCCTGAGTCTGCATGTGGCTTTCAGGCTGGACACAGGTTCCAGGAAGACTAAGATGAGCCTCGGGTATTTAACACAGAACTTTATTCCACCCCCCCCAGAAGAAGTGTCCCCCCCACCACACACAAACTCAAGTCTGGAAGACTCCTGGGGGCTTAGTTTTAGGGGGAACTTCAGGATGGAGGGAGGAGTGGAATAGTTTGTGTGAACCTGATGTGCCATCGGTGTATACTAGGGACACATACACACACACGGAATGTGGTTGAATGGCTCCTTTAAAGTGGTCCTGAACTCCCAGGGGTGGGAGGGACGGTCAGGCTCCTCCACTGTGAACGAGGCTCTGTGAGAACAGCTACACCCACGTGCTGACGTCACTGTGGGCTCCTCGGGGGAGTGAAGACTGTGACTTACACTCTTGTGCCAGATCTGTCAGGGGCGAAGGAGACCCTCTTTGGATATCGAATGTCATGTCAGAAAAGCACCACGCCCAGCATTTGTCCCAGATGATGTATGAATTCAGAAAAGACAAGTCCTGTGAAGGGTGGGGTAGGGCAGGGCAGGGCAGGGAAGAGGAAATAGGGAGGAATTAATCAAATGCCCAGACTTCATCTTGAGTGTGGCATAATAAGCTGGAGAACCTCTGCAGTTGGGGACAGCTCACTCACCTTTGCATGTTTCCCACTGACAAGGAAATTAAAACCTGCCATTCCAACTCTTCTCATCGGACTATTGAGTGGAATTCTTATTGTCCGAAGCTTGTGTGGCTGTGTCTTCTCATTTCAGTCACACATAAGCATGGGTGTTTGGCCAAGCCTAGATTGTTGAGAAATCTATGATCTTCAGGTGAGAACTCACTCGTTGGGTGAGCCAATCAATAGGCTCAGGACCAAAACTGAGCGAACATCACCTTCTGGGAAGGAAAGGTCCTCCAGTGCCCACTTCTACCAGATAGTCAGAAGATGGATAAGTGTGTGAGACAATAGCCCAAGAAATACCTTAGAATTTGTTTGTTGACAAAGCATTGTACAGGGTGAACTGTTGACTTCTTTCCATATTTATTTTGGTGCTATTGTGTGTCTGTTCTTTATTTAAAGACCATCCTTGGTACTTAATTGATATTATATATTCCACATTGTGAAATAAGTTAACGGGGAAATAATCTTTTATGCCCCAGTAACTTGCTTTCCCATAAAAGATAATGAGTCTAAGTATCTCTGTCCTAAAGAAATTGTTTAAATATAACTTGCCAGTCAACACACATGTAGACACAACAGTTTCAAGGGCTAAATGGCTGTAAGAACTTTCATCTTCGAAACAAGGTATTAAGTCCTTAAATGTGTTTCCCCTGTCAGTCAGTCAGTCAACAAATGTGTATCAGTCTATCATATGCCAAGTGCTGTGCTAGTGCTGGGGCCCACTGATGAACAAGACAGATAAAGACCAAAGACAGGATTAAGACAGAGGAATAGGGCAGGTTTGGTATTATTAATTAACTGAGAACTATTTGAGACAGAGTAGTCAGCAATGACCCCTCTGAGGCTGCCTGTGACATTTAAACTGAAACTGAAGCAAATACAATGTCCTTGAAGTGATGAAGGACAAGGGAGACCATGTGGAGTGTGTGTCCTGGGTGGGAGCGGGGGGCGGGGGGAGGGCTTCTAAAATGAGCCCGGAGAAGCAAGCTGGAAGTCACTGATGGCTTTCAAGGCGGGAAAGGACAGGATCATGCTGCATAGGGAGGGAAGCACAGACATGAGTTACAGAGTGCTTGCATAGGTCTCGGGCGAGACGCAGAAGGCTTACAAACGGTGGTAGCAGATGCATTTAAGATGTATTTTGAAGTGGAATCAACAGGGTTTAAAAATAATTTGACGTGGGGATGAGAAAAAGATAGGGATTATCCAGGGTTCCTAGGTTTCTGCTTTAGTGTCAGTGCCCTCAGTTTATTTCCTTCAAGGCACTCACTACAATCAAAGCAACAGAAGCCATTATCTTGTGAATCTATTTGTTGGCTTGTTTTTTCTGTCCATCTAGAATAATGCTGTTCAGTAGAAAAGCAATGCAAGCCACATATGTAATTTTAAATGTGCTAGTAGCCACATTTAAAAAGAGGTGAAACTAATTTTAATGATACATTTTCCTGAATCCAATATATCCAAAATATTATTTCAACAATTAATCAATATAAAAGATTAATGAGACATTTTCCTTTTTTTTTTTTTGGTACTAAGTCTTCAAAATATGGTGTATATTTCACACTGACACCACACCTCAGTTCAGACTAGCCACATTCCAAGTCCTTGAAATCATCTGTAGCTAGTGGCTCTGTATTGGACAGTGCAGAACTAGAGGCTGAGCCACGGGAGACAGGATCGTTCAGTCTAGTTCACTGTTTATCTCCAGCAACTGAAACCTTTAGTGGCAGACAGTGAGTATTTGATATATTTGAATGAATGAATAAATGCTTGGTGATGGGGGGCTTATTGGAGGCAATAGTTTTGGGGGTGGGGATCAAAGCTTCCATTATGGACTCATTAAGTTTCAGGTGTCCATGAGACCTCTCAGTGGAGTTGTCAAGGAAGGAAGTGGATATGAGAGTCTGGGACTGAGAAGAAAAACCTGGGTGGAGGTATAAATTTGGCACCTTGATGGGTTCTAAATCTAAGGGAATCATTGTGGATTACCTCAGGAAAGAGAGCAGAAAAAAGAAAGGGCCCAGGACCCTGTCCTAAGAGATACCAACATTTAAATGCTGAGTGAGAGAAGAGGAAAATCAGGAAAGTGTGATGGTGTCAAGACATCAAAAGAGCAAGCGTTCCAAGGAGAAAGGAATGGTCCAATCTGCTGAGAGATCAGGTAAAAAAAAAAAAAAAAAAAGAGACCAAGACGATAGGAGCATTGAGATTTTAACAATAATCCTGTGGCACATTGCACAATCATAATCTCTTTAAAGCCCTTCTTGTAATGCTTTGAGTCAGAGACAGTTCTTTTCTTTTTTTTTTAAATACAAAGAAATTTGGCCTCCAAAAGGTCAAGAAGCCCAGCTAGTTTATGAAGAACCAGATCTAGAACCCAAGAATCTTAGTCCAGCATTATTTAAAGAACATATTTTAAAGCATATTTAAAGGAGATTTATGGAAGGAGTGTGACTATCTGTGATGTCACCATGTCCAGGTGGTTTGAGAGTAAAGGTACATTTGGCAGCATCTTTCAAGTATGAAACTAGACCAAGATTACATGATCGCGGTTTCTTGCAAGTTCGATAAGTGCCATCTGCCCTTCATTTGTAACACCTAGAATTCTTAACACACTGTTCCTCCATGGACTCCATTTCTCAACCTATCCTGGGCAATGCAATTCTACTCTTCCTGCAGTGCGTTAAGGTAAATTAATAACAACTTTATTCAAGAGAAAGGTCATTTGCAAACATTTATCAAGTGTGTTATAGATAAGTTAGGGTTTCTCTGCTGCCTTTCAAAACATAGGAAGAATGAAACGACCTAATCTAAACTCTATGGCTAAGTAGTTGCATGACCTTGAATAAGACTTGACCCTTCCTGCACCTCACTGTTCTTATCTACAGAACAGAGAGCTTAAACCACACCATCTCCAGTTCTTAAAATAATTTATGATCTAATGTTGTAGTTAATTAGAGTCCCCTCTGTCCCTGTCTTTAACTTCAAATTGATCAGTGGGTGAAGATCATCCTAAAGAAAGTTGAGACACCTAGGAATGAATTCCAAGTGCACCACCAGGTCGACATATGTTAATGGGACAATTCCCATGCTCATCCCTTGGGTTGTTTTGAGGACTGAACCAGATAAGTCACATGAATATGTTTTCTAATCTGTACAGTACTAGAGAAATTAGAAGTGTAACAGGCTGAGTCCCTGTTACCTATCCTGAGCCCATGTGACTTATTACTTTTACAGAGTTATGACAGGTTATGCTCAAGGTGAGAATGGAGACAACTGGAGAGTCTTGATATCTCCAGAGAGCAATCTTTGAACGTTTACAAGAGAATAACAGATACACTAAAAAGAAACAAGAAAGAAAGTGGGAAAGGAGGCATTCACAGGCAGAGGGGGAAGAAAGGCAAGGCCGGGCAGTTAGGAAAATCAAAGGCGAGTTAGAGTGGCAGGGCTGGGGAGGGGGTGGGCATCAGCAGGGCAGGAGCCCGAGCCAGCTAGACCGGGGGCGGGGGCGGGTGGCGAACCAGCGGCTCATCCAGGGACTTGGCGGGCACCAGGCGGCGGAGGCAGGAGGAGGGTGGGGCTTGGAGAAGGGCAAAGGCAGGCCAAGACTTAAAAGGGAGATGACCCTGCTAGTTGATGCGGCCAGGAACCTCCGACGCCCAGGGCCAGGGCACCGGCGAGGGACAGCGGGAGGAAGGGCCGCGCTGAGGCCGTCCGCGCGCTCCGAGGGACGCCCGCAGCGCCGCCACCATGTGCGAGCTGTACAGCAAGCAGGACACCCTGGCGCTGAGGAGCAAGCACATCGGGTAAGCGCGCCCAGCCCCGAGGAAAGCGCAGACGGGGGACAACGCCGCAGGGGCGGAGAGCGGCAGCAGGGCAGAGAGCCGCGAGCGGGAACCGGGCGCCGGACGCTCCGCGAGGGCGGTTGCCTGCCGGTGTCAGACGCCGCGCCGCCCGCCCG